GGTGGGAGGGACCCCAAGGGCCATTGGCTGCTGGAGGAGGGGGCCAGGTCCTTGGGGTCCTCGAAATGTTATGCTAGGTGCCACACTACATCTTCTCTGCACATACAGTCTCAACCTCCCAAATAGTTCTGAATGTCTTCTCTATGATTATGACTTCCAGGTGTGTCTTCACCCGGAGTCATATCGCCAAACATTAGACCCAGATTTCTACCTGCTACCCTAGAACATCTCCACTTACCATGTTCAGCATCAGACATCTATTTTCAAACTTTCTTGCCCTTAAGCCCTGCTCTTCTTCCTGTGTTCCCCTTCTGTGTGAGTGGACCCATCCTTCTGCCAGACATAAAGACACAGACATCCTTGAGTCCTCAAATTCCTCAAAGCCCATACCCAGTAAATCCCACACTATCCTTTGAACCCTTGTAGTATCACCTGTCATAGTGATGGCTTCCCATCTTCTCTACCACAACCTTCTACATTAGGAGGTAGTCTACCTTAGGAATCCTATGTCTTCAGTTGTGGGGTTTTTTGTTTTTAAAGCAATCTCCTACATCCAACTTGGGGCTTGAACTCATGACCCTGAGATCAAGAGCCGCATGCTCTACTGTCTGAGCCAGCCAGGTGCCCCTCAGTTTTGGTTGTTTTAAAAGATCCCCACAAACTGCCTCAAAACTTCCTGTCTCTTCCCTTATGTGCTGGATGTTGCAGCTCCTCTCTCTAATGTTATATACATAGCATATGGCTGAAAGATTGTGTGCAACTTCTAAAACAATGTACCGCCTTCTCCACTTCTATCTTTCTTTCATCACTCTGGTAGAAGTCAGCTGCCATGTTGTGCTGACACAGTACTCCAATCACTCCATCACCCCATCGTCCCAAGTTCCCTTCATCCCATCGCGAGATCACATCATTGTCCTGTCCTAGGGTCAACCTGTCATCCCATCATTCCCTTGTCCCATCATCTGGTTGTCCCGTCACCCGGTAGCCCTGTCGCCCCATCGCCCCATCACTTCATCATCCCATTTTCTTGATGTACCATTACCCCACCGTCCCACAGCCCTAACATCCCACAGCCCCATCGTCCCATCACCTCATCAACCCGTCACCCAATCACTCCATCACCCCATCGTCCTATGTTCCCTTCATCTCATGGCCAGGTCACCCCATGGCCCCATCACCTTATCACCCCATAGCCCTATTGCTCCATTGCCCAATCATCCCATCGTCCCATCATCCCATCATCCAGTGGTCTCAACATCCCATCGCTTCAGTGTCCCAACTTCTTGCAGTCCCATCACCCCATCATCCCACCGTCCTGTCAGCCTAACATCCCACAGCCTCATTGTCCCATCGCCCCATTGTACCATGGTCCCATTGTCCCATCCCTCCATCGTCCCATCGTCCCAGCACTCCATGCTCCCATCCCTCCATCGTCCCATCGTCCCAGCACTCCATGCTCCCATC